CGCTAAAAATATAGCATCATGGTAGTCGTAATGGTTCAATGCATGCCAAACAGCTGCCTGAAAAGTAACAGCAATATATCCACTCAGTTTACATGACATCCATCCAATTGCATTTTTACTAGTTGCATTCCAAAAGAAATAAGGAAAGATAATACTAACATCTTCCTGAAAAAATCTCCAAAATGCCACGTTACTTTTGATAGTGCTATCTTTAAAACATTCAAGTTTTGTTTGATTGCAAACAGAAAAATTGTGAGGCTTATAATTAGGGTAATATAGGGCCAAATGAATGATTCCTATACAGTATTTGAAATGAATGGATTTAAGTAAATCTGACATTGGTCTCCAGAAAAAGTATCAAAACCCTTTACATCCATGTCTTAAAGATGAGTATCACACATCTCTTCAGTTCTCATTTTATTATCAATTATATTAACGCCTGATGTCAATAACTGACTAGCTTTATCTTAAGTAAATATAAACATACCCATCTCTTCAAGTTAACAACTACTTCTCAAAGTTAGCATTAACATATACTGAATAAAACAACGTATCTCTGACATTATTCGTTGCAAGGAGAGCATATTGCTTTTCCTCGGCTCGGTTACCTATCACATACTGTAATTAACTGGGCTGTTTGTGTCACGTCAATGTCCGTCCCTTATTAATCACTGTGCCAATAGAAGTTGCGGAATGTCATTAGTTTTATACCAATGGAGGGCATTCCGACCCACCGATTCAAAACTCGAATACGTATGAATTTATATGGTTCATGACAGTTACTCTGTAGACTCCTCAGTTCGAAAAGTTGCTACACTTATGTTATGATTTAGATCAGCTGAGAGAATGTTCCAGGAAATTTGACAAGACGGATCAAGTTCAATTATAAACTTTACTGAGAGGGATCATATAAAAATAACCCACCTGTACCGGCTCCAGAACAACCATGGTTCGCTGTGTATCCGCTCAATTATATAATATCCCCTTTTGAGTCCCGTACCAGCAGTTAATTCAGGTACAAGTTTACTTTCTTGCAACGGCCATTGTAGATAAATGTCGTATAGGCTAATGCAAGATACAAATTTGCAAAATGACCTTCACCCTGGGGTACTTAAAACACCCATTTGAAATATAATTCGATATATTTTCCAAATTGCTTGACAGTCTAAAAGCAAATACATATTACATGTAAGCTCTGATTTCAAGTTATAAGTATTAAGTACAATTTAAAATAATTTCAAGAAATTATCGGTACAGTGCACAGGAGCCCTGACCAACGCGCGGCTACTGCTATCGGCAACTTTCCACATGTGTAGTTCCGTCTGGTACGTTTGATCGTGAAAAGATAACTGAGAAAATGCCGACAGTGGCACTTGAGCGGGACCTACTTTATGAGAGGTTGGGGCAAAGCTACAGTAAGTATTGTGAAAATGTCTGGTTGCCAATAGGCTATGAGAAGTCAATTACGTGTTCAACCCTTGTACGATCACTCGATCAGCAGTCATTTTCATATGGCCACAACTTGTACACGGCATTAGACTGCAAACTATTAGAATAGCCACGCTGTGGAGTAATTTCCATTTAACAGATTTTTATCTTATTATATTCAATATGCTATTATTCTGTATATATAAATATATTTTTTCCAACACACTTTGTTGTATTGATGGCTGCTGTCAGTGCATTAATTCCACTTCAATTTGATCAATTTAGGGGCAAGCGGAGGCATTACCTCAATATTGCATCATTTATCAGAATTAGTCAACTATCGCATAGAAATAACTTAACGTTTTATTTTTCAGCTGAAGAAGAATTTGATGAGCTATGTTTTGAGTTTGGTCTTGAGCTGGATGAAGTGGTAATCTTTCTTCCTCAATTGACATAGATATATTTACACACCTTTATTTATTAATTATTTATTATTTGCTAATTTGGTATTTGGTTATTTACCTATTTATCCAGAAAGTGTCACTTTTCAAATGTCACTTACAAAGTTATCTCAATTTATCAGCCTCTGGATCAAGATATTCTCATAGCCTAAAGACTACATGTTTGAATAGGAATGAAAGAAAAAGTAAATTTAACACAAAGAATGAAAGAAAATGTTTTTGTTTATTGGTAAATAAAATGTATTTTTCTGTTATTTTAAGACATCAGAGAATGCACTGATAGCTAAAGAACAGGGAGCTGACAAAGCTGGCACTGGATCAGACAAAGTGATCTATAAAATTGAAATTCCTGCAAATAGGCAAGTGTTATTATGATTATTATTACTATTATTATTATTATTATATTTTCAAGAATAGAAAAAGTTGTTCTTACCTGTAAAACTAAAAATCATTGACTAATTTGACTCGGGCACTTGGTAGTAGCTTTTAAAAAAGTGCGAAAAAGCTAGTATTTTAGACCTGTAAGAACAATTATTTCACTTTATTGCGCGTGTGTGTGTGTGAGTGAGTGAGAGAGAGAGAGAGAGAAAGTAACTGGACCCAGATGTAAATATAGTTATATTGGAATTAAATGTTGATAAGAATTGGTTATCAATGGCATGGGTACAAGAACAATAATCAGTATAAATTATTAATGGAATTCAACATTGTGCAAACTTAAGAACAGTCGGTAACATTACTTTTTTTTTTGACAGTTAATTAATTTTAAATCCAAAAAGCTGTTAGGCAGTTGAAGTCTCTGTGTTCAGCATATTATTACATATATTTGTAAATGTATAAGTTTGGAATTGCTTTATAACTTTAATGTCTTTTTTTTTCACTCAGATATGACTTGCTCTGTGTTGAAGGACTCGTCAGGGGTTTACTTGTTTTTAAAGAAAAGTAAGTAAAATTGTGAGGAATATAAGAGAAAATGTTTTAAGGTGTGACTTACATGTGCATACTTTTGAACTATTTACAAAAATTAGTTGTAAAGTAATGTGTTTGATCCTATATCATTTTTGCAAAATTAATTGATCTTACTGAATACCAAGTCTACAATTGCTCAAATCTGTCAAATGCAATGTACATTCCCTGCCTTTATTTCAGAATGGCTTGCCCAGTGTACAAAAAGATCCCTCCGACAGAGGGCAGCACTATGCAGGAGCTGACAATCAGACCTAGTGTATGTTGAAGCTATATACATAGAACCTTTATGTGTTTAGAAGGTATTCTGAAATATACAGGTATCTTGACCAGGGTGAAAGTGTTGAAAATAACATTGTAAAATTTTAAAACAACATATTCCAGCAACATCTTCAAGCAACAAACAATTCACTTAAGACCAACATAAGTGTGATATTCTTTTAATTTCTGTTTTAGACAGCTGCTATAAGACCACACTGCGTTGCAGCAGTTCTTAGAAATATCACTTTTACTGAGGTAGGTCTGAAATACATTTGAGAAAGTTTCTAATAAGTTACCAAAAAGATTAAAAGGGAAAACATTTATAAAAGAAGAAATGCATTAAGATTATACTTAGAGATAAGATTTAAATTTAGTGTACTTTTTGAGTTAAAGATTGTTTAAGATTAAGTTCATGAACATTTACTTATTATATTTTCATGGTTTATTCAAGTAATTAATTGAAGATAATTACAATGTTTATTATGATCCTATTTGTGAAGTATTTGAAGTTTATACTGTTGGCATGGCATTTTTAAATTACACGTATTTTATACACAATACAAAATATGTTACCATGAAATTTTAGATAATTATATTAAAATACTTAAAAGTATTTTAATATAATTATCTAAAAAAGAAATTGTTAATAAGCACAAGACATGAATAATGAAGGAATACATGTAAATGTCTTTTAAATAATTATTTCAGGCCAGTTATAAAAATTTCATAGATCTTCAAGATAAATTACATCAAAATATATGCAGGTATGTGGGTTGTAATTTCACTGTGTACAAACTTTTCAATTTTACTTAAAAGTCAGCAAAATAAAATCAAAAGTGATAAACGTTGAGATTTGTGTAGGTAATTTTGCTGCATATATTTGTGACCATAATCAGTACACCATTAGTTGTGAATATGCACATCGAATAGCTTAATTTGTAAACAGTTAATGCATTGCAGTTTTTTCTTTTTTTAGAAAAAGATCATTAGTGGCTATAGGAACTCATGACCTGGACACAATAGAGGGCCCTTTTGTATATGATGCTCTACCTCCTGAAGACATCAAGTTCAAGCCTCTCAATCAGACGAAGGAGTATACTGCAGTAGAACTAATGGAGCTTTATTCAGTGAGTAGATTCACTGTTCTAATTATCCCCCAAAAGATTCAAATATTCAGGATGCTTTTTAAGTGGTCCCTTACTGTGCTCTTTGCATTTTCTTTGGAGTTAATCATGGTAACATATTTTGTATTGTGTATAAAATACATGTAGCATGTGTTGTCAGTGATATCATGGCTGCTGTATATATCATTAAATAGAGATGAGACACCTGAAATTTTTTGTTAAAAAGGAGGGGGGTGTATAACTCAATAAAAAACATTGGATTAGTTTGCAGTTTGAGTTAGCTATGAGTAATTAATTTACAGACAGTAACTGGAGTGTTTTTTAATTTCAGACAGACAGCCATCTAAAGCACTATCTGCATATCATTAAGGATAGCCCTGTCTACCCAGTCATTTTTGACAAAAACAATGTAGTTTTATCTATGCCACCAATAATCAATGGTATGTTAGAGATAAATTTGAGATTTCTCAAAATAGACAAGTTAAAAGCTTTGATGTATTATTACAGCAGAAGTACACAAATGGGAATATGAAAATGTGTTAAATTGATATTCATAGTTCCTATTTAGACTATTTCCTTAAAGATTATTGTCATTATATATATTTAAATACTTTATTTTTTACGTAATTGTTAAACTTAATAATGATAAAATTTATGAAAAGAGGTAAAACATGTCAAGTGTAAACACTTACTATCAAAATATTTACTTCCTTCTTTGTTAAGGTGAGCATTCTAAGATTACACTGTCCACTAAGAATGTGTTTATAGAGTGTACGGCCACTGACCTGACCAAGGCCAAGGTTGTCCTAGACACGATAGTGACCATGTTCAGTGAATACTGCCAGGATCAGTTCACGTAAGTGGGTCCCATGATATTTCATGTCAGTTCCAGATAAGGAAAGCATATTGTAGAGATTGTGTATAAACTAAGACTTGTGGTAAATGTTGCAAGGATCAGTTTATGAAAAGTGAGATGAGGATGGCTTCTTGTAGATTTTTTTCCAAAGATGTAGTCATGTAGAGGTTATTCGCTGTAAAGAATTTAGAGATTGCACAATTGTTATTATTCAGGGTTGAGCCAGCCAAAGTAATCCAAACAGATGGAAGTGAAGTTGTGTATCCTGTGAGTAAAATATAAAAAAAGGCATTGAAAATCATTAGGAAGGAAGAATTTTCACATTTTTTTTGATCACAGTAAATGTAATCTCTGAAGATACAGATGTAGATGTCAAGCATGTCTGTAGCGTCATTTGTAAGTTTAAAGCAGTTTGAAAATAAAATTGTATCATCTAGTTTTGATTTCAATAAACATTTCATTTCACATCTTCACGTGCAATAAACCATGAAAATATAGCATGAAGTCACCATTGTATGCTTGCTTATGTTTTCTAAGTATTTTGTAACTTTTCTTTCAGGATCTGAATTACAGACATGAGGTTGTGGAGGTGGCAGATATTAACAAGAAATTGGGAATAAAGTGAGTTGTGCTTCCCCTGTCCATACATATTGATTTTCTGTTGGTGGTAGAAAAACTTATCAGATATATAAATTATTTTTTTATATGAAATATTATTTTTACTGATTTTCCAAAATGGAAAATCTTACTAATAAAATGCATTTTCACAGATTTTAGAAATCCATAAAGATAGAATTTTTGACCCTGAAAACATTGTTTAGCTCCCTGCACTTTTTCTTTTCAAAAAGTCTGTACTTATCTTTTGACATACATTAATATTGAGGGTTGTATTTTGATTATTCCTGCTTTCCTCCCCAGAATCAAGGCAGATGCCATGGCCAGTCTGTTGACCAGAATGTGCCTCAAGTCCAAAGCCATAGAGAAAGGAGCCCGCCTAATAGTGGAGATCCCACCAACCAGAGCAGATATCCTTTGGATTCAAATCTTTTGAAAATTCAAGATTTTTCATATTAAAAAATCATATTTATTTACTTATTTGTTTATTTATTTATTTATTTATTTATTTTTGTTTTCTCCATCATACACTGGATTAAATTCAGTTATTCATTACTTAATCACAGATTAATTTACGAAAATTGATACATTGATTTATTGAAATAAAGGATCCTTTTCTAGGGACAGCATATTGTTTTAAGGAACTTTTTTAAACTACACTAACATTTTTATCCTTAACCTATTTCCACATGTCATACATGCCTGTGATATTGTGGAGGATGTGGCTATAGCTTACGGGTATAACAATATTAAGATGACTATTCCAAAAACCAACTGTATTAGTCAACAGGTAATTATGTTCTTTTTATCATTTAATAAGGTCCTAAGATTTTCTTTAAAAGAATGTTTTTAATGGTAAGTGTAAGTTTTGTCTGTACCTGAGGATTTTTTTTTTTAATAGAGTCATTATTTTACAAAATGATGGTTTTTCTTTCAGTTCCCGTTGAACAAACTGACGGATTTATTACGACCAGAAATTGCGGCTGCAGGGTTCACTGAGGCACTGACCTTTTCATTGGTAAGAACTGGACTTTCAAAAATAAAACTGCGCTGATACCAAAATCTGTTTAAGTGAAGAAGTTAAGTCCTTCTCTGCTTATGTTTTTAAAATGAAAATCAAAGTGTGTCTGTAACACTTCACAAAAGGGAGTGTGCAATTCATAAAATCCATGTCAAAAATAGTAGTAAGTAAAATTTTCAAATGAATGAAGTTTTTTTCACTAATTAAATTCGATCAACTTTGTTAGATTTAACAGAATTTTTTTCCTTTATTTCAGTGCTCAAAGGATGACATATCAGACAGGTTACGGAAGGACATCTCTACAATAAGAGCTGCTCACATTGCCAACCCTAAAACTTTAGACTTTCAGGTAATGAGATTTTGAAGTATTTCGAATGCTAATCAAGACATTTAATAATTCACCTTTAGGAATGTTTATTCCTGTGGTAGATTTAATGCATTTGATGGTCTAAGGCTAACCATATAAAAGATGTTTGCTGTTTACTTGTAGGTTGCCAGAACAATGTTACTGCCTGGGATTTTGAGGACGGTGGCCTCCAACAGGAAAATGCCGCTTCCCCTCAAGTTGTTTGAGATTTCAGATGTAGTTTTCAAAGATGACACTACAGGTAAAATAAATTATAAGCATCAGGAGGTTGTCAAAATTTTGCAGTGCAAGTAATATTTCTATCATCTTGTTTTAATTGTTCAATGTTAATGGCACATTTAGAATATGTATGTTACTGATGCTGTTTAGAATTTCCTTTGGGGAAAATCTTCAAACAGAAATGAACTCAGGATTCTTAGATCCCAAGTTCATTAGTACCACCAGCGTATACGCTGGCGGTACTCATGGTTTTAGTCCCGACCCGTCTCGTACAGCTCCGCCGGCTCCGCCGGCTCCGTCGGCTCCTGCGGCTCCGCCGGCTCATGCGGCTCCGCAGTCGGGCGCCGGAAACAAGTCACCGTTACCGCTTCTCCTCCTAGACCGCCAGGACCTGTGTCCCCATCTCTTGGATTTAGGTCACATATAATCTCAACTTGAACACCCTGTTTTTTTTGTCTCTGTCGGTGCATTGGCCTGGGCGTGACACTTGTTGAAACGCACCCTTGTCAAAATTTTTGAAAATTCAAGGCTAAATATCTCCCAATCCAAAGGAATTATGGGAAAAATTACTACAGAAGTCTGACCGAAAGGCATATGTGGAGATTCCAAATATGCCATTGGATTTGACTTTTGACCTTTTTTTCAAGGTCAAACAAGCCAAAATTTTCTAAAAATGGGAATTTTCTGCCAAAAAATATTTGTTTGTGCTATTTTTTGGAAACTACACAGATCTAAGCTCTCCTGTTATAGTGAGAGGTTACAATTGGGGACTCCTTTCATCTTTGGGAGTTATGGGTCAATCGGTGCAATTTCACAGGAGAAGCAGCCATTAGATACCGAAACTGAAAACTTGCTTTTATTCTGGAATGGTAAATGCCAGAGACCTTTTGTTCATCGCATTTTGTAGAACTTGTCAAGTGCAATACTGGGGGTGATGTCCATTTTTTTGTTTTCGATATGGTTTAGGCATTGCGCTATATCAAAAATTACAACATTGCAATATTCAGTGGGGAAAATG